TTTTATTTCGGATTTCGAAATTGGACTGCGCCGGATTTAGAATACAGGCGACTAGTGTGGGTTTAATTAAGCACAAATTGCTTCGATAGGGTACGAAATTTTCCTGTTCATTTTCCTGATCATTTTGGTTTGTTATTCGTAAAATTGTTAAGATTAGTTCTTTACCAGATGTGTGCAAAATTAATATACAGGTTTGACCTAATTTGTATAAATTTATGTCTTAAAATGCTTAGTTTCGGAGATGGGTGTAGAAGTTTAATTTTTATTTCCGTTTTTCCAAATAATTTCTAAAATATAGTAGGTATTGGAATAAAAATTGGTGTCTGGGTGTTTTTTGGCATGAGAAATTTGATTTTGATTTCAATATGACTCCTATTTTTAGGAGGTATCACCTACATGTTTTGTTTACTTGTCACTCAAATTTTATAATTTCATGTTATACCTTCCAATTGTACTAACTTACTTCTTTGTAAAATAAAATAAACTAATTTGAAATTAAGTTGACAGACACATCTATCACTTAGATGTAATAAAGTAGTATTAAAGTGTGAAATAAAATCATGCTAATAACATTATTTATGAATAATGCTACTTGTCAAGAATGGCAATAAAAATTGTTTTACATAATTTAGAAAGAATATTGTTAAAGAAAAGTAGATGAAATATGCCGATTTCTGTATACCTACATATCTTTATTTATAGAAAAATTGCAGCTACAAAAGCTCAATTGCACAAAACATGAACTACAAGACGAAACTAATGCAGCTTATGCATTATGTATTACTCGAGAACATCACAGGAGAGATTCTGTCATCTACTTTGACTTATTGATTATTTAAAGACATGCATTTTAGCAAAATGTATACGTTTTATGTACGACGGATATCTTAAATATCTTTTTCTATTTAATTTTAATACTAGATTGAAATTAGTAATTAAGTTCAGTTATAATTTATTTTTATTTTTTTTAATTATATACTTGTGTAAGATCAAAATAATCTGCTTTTCTTAAATAAATACATATTTTACCGGTTAATCTTTTCGAATTAAATCAAGTACTGCGTTACCCTTAGTGAAGATAAGCTTGTTTTGTGTTATTAATTTCCCTTTAAAAAGTCTTTCGTTAATCAAAGATTAGCTGCCGTATTCTATTAGGACTGTTAATCTTGCGTCAGGGGTCGCCATTATCAGATCTGCGGTACAATTTTCTGTTCCTACCCAATGAGATTAAAGAGATTAAAAGGCGAAGAGAAAATGGACAAACACCAGAGAAGCATCGCTAATGGTTAAAAATACTAACGAGAAACTCGAGGCCACCGAACAGTTTGATAGTTAAAATTAATTTCAAGATGGGAACAAACAGCCTCTTGAATACTGCTTTGGTTTTTTATTATTTGATTACATTTGGTGTTGAGTCCATTTCACTAGTCCGAAAAAGTAGCAAAATAAACGTTTAGCATTTAACGTTTTATGTAAAGCTGGCTAGGTATTTTTACACAAATGAAGAAGGAAATTAAAGATAAAGGATTATACTATATCCGCATTGTAGCACATTTTTAGGCAACTTCTTTATTTTTAAGATTTTGATGGTCAAACATCAACAAAATATTCCTTATCTTTGGACTAAATTTTCTTGAAAATAAAGACATAATTTAAAATTTCGTTACAATGCGGAAATAGATTGAAGTTTTGTGATTACAGTGATATATAATTTATATGGTTTTGTAACACATTGCTCGCTATTTTCTGCAAACCTTAATCAATGCACGTGTGTTTGGAATTTTGGGTGTGGCTTAACAGGATAGGATCGGGCTAAGCCTTAGACAGATTTCTAAAATATAATATATATTTCCTTCGGCCCACACACCCGCTCTATCCGACCCCTGATAGCGACTCGAACAGTACAGCGTAACAGACTCTTAAGTATTCAGATTTGAAAATCTCCAATATTTATATCAAAAATTTAGAGGTTTTTCTATATCTAGCAGATTTATACGCTAAGATTTATTTAAATATGCATGAAATGTTAATATTAAATTATATTACATAAGCCAATATAAAAACATGGAGCTGTGTTATGCATTACGATATCATTTAAATAGATTCCAAATAATATCGTTTCAAAAAATTACTCACTACAATAAATTTCTGAGTCTATCAAACTATTTTTAAAGTGAAACTTCTTTATGCGTGTTGGGAGTAAAAATTCAATGCCGTGACACACGAGCTACCGAAAAGAAAAGTGGTAACGGCAGCGTTGCCACAGCCACCTCATTCGGAGTAGATCTACCCCTTTGTAAAACTAAAATACTGTAAACCATTATAAATACGAAGGTTAGGTTCAAAATTTTTTCTCTTCTTAAAGAAATTTAAACGTTAACATTATTATTAGGCATTTGCATAAAAGTGTGTATTTTGGGTGGTGTTCGACAATATTTACAGGCTATTCAGGAAACAGGAAATGTACAGATTACCTACATTATATTATGAATTTATTAACTAAAATTATTTAAATATGTTTATCCTTTTAATATTTAAACACAAATATAAATTCTATACAAAGCTCTATACAAAATATTTAATAGATATGAGAAATAAAAGCAGCATGCCTAACAAATATTTCACATAGACAATATGTCAATAATTAATGCTACAACGTTATGCATTATAGATATAGATATAAATATTGTAAAATATGCATTTTTTATATTTTGTAAAAAATTTGAATCTTTAGTTGGTTTATATTTAGATGGCAAGATAAATGATTTGATGTTAAATGTAAATTATTAGGTATTAGTAGTACATAAAAATCTTGTATGTTAAGGCGTAGTCTCACGACCCGTGTACTTGAGAAACGTTTGTATTTGGTATACAGGTTATATATGGTGCGTCGGGCATCTATACAGAATTTCTAGTTTATTTCTAATTTCAATCTTTAAGGCGGACTTTGACGATTCGTGTGCTTAGCAAGTATTTTTTATCGACATACAGGGTCCGACGATGGTGCGGCGTAGTTCCTATAATAAATAACTTAGAAATTCTGTATAGATGCTCGACGCACCTTGTATACCCTGTATACCAATTACAAATGTTTGTCAAGTACACGAGTCGTTTGAGCGCGCCATTAGAATGAAACTGTTGATTAAAGAAATAAGATACGCAACCTTACGGGTCATTCCGTGACAAAAACCTGTCCGAGACGTAGCTCGCGTTAATGTCAGCCTGTCCGAGATTTAGTTTAGCTGGTTTGGCTCTGCGCCGTTGCGTGCTGATAGTTGTTTACAGCACAGCGGGTAAAGAATAGTGTACCGCAGTCCTGCTTTCAGTTGACAGAGTGGTTGCCGGAGACAGTGTTGCCGGAACTAATTATTAATCCGTAGATTTCCGGATTTTGGGTACGGTACGTTAATAATAAGGATTTTTTTATCATTTAACAATTTAATATAATATTATATGATTAAACAAAGAACGGCGTCAGAATTGGCTTGGTAATGCAGATCGCTGTTATTTCATATGGAATATGTCAATAATCGTCATTTCCAAGCCAACTAAACGACTTTTTTTTTCGGTAAAACAGGAAGTGACTAAAAACAATTGAATACGTCAATCAATCCTAATTTATGTCATATACTAACATACGAAATCTCGTTTTTTAATCTGAAAAAAATAAAAACGTTATAGGGGTGAGTCACTTTTAAGACGCACCCGGTTTAGACGCGGATTTTTCATCCAAATTATTTTCGTCAAACGTATAAAAGATATATTACACATTTTAATATGGCAACACTGTCGCTTTCAGTTCGATACCGCCGAATAGGATATGCCGAATCGCTGGCCGAATTAGAGAAAATAAGTGTTTTGGCGTTGGTCGCAAAGCGATTGGTGTCTCCACCGTCCAGTTGGAGAATATTTGGTGTTGATGAGCTGCACGTAAAAATTTCAGAGCGTCAAAACTGCAAAACTTGAATGTATATAACTTTTGCAAATACTGTTTTTGCTAAGATACGATCTGTAGTCGCCGCACATGGGTCGGGCACATTTGATTCATGAGATTTTTGTTTTTTGTCATTTCTCCTTTGACATATACTACATCTCTTTCGTTTCTGGTATTGATTATTCAATTTTATCACTTATACACGTAAGAGATTCGGAATCGGAGTTATAGTTACTGTTCGGAGATAAATCATTGTCACGATAATCTTCATATCCCTTAAGTCCCTTTAAGTTCATTAAACCACTCAGTTAATGTTTTCAAATATTATTGCCCCCGTAACGTACACTTTTTGAACTACCCACCATTCTAATAATAAAACATTCTTAGCCTGGTGGTGTACTTGTGAAATACTGATGACACACATCACAAGTACATGCAAGAGGGAGCCGACGCTCTATATATAGTATGGCACTGTAAGAAGAAGAAGCCTGGTGGTGCCACACAGACCCCAGTGCAACTTTACTCCCCTCTGGTAGGAACAATACCTGATAAAAACACCTTTAGAAGTTGCATATGGGTACACTAACTTAAAGATAAATATCGCGGCGAGGCCTAAATCATAAACGTAAACATTTTACATAAGTTTAAATAGTACGGGGGGTCCGCTATACTCCACCACGCCAGTTGCGGGTTAAACAACACTATCAAATATTAACTCGTTAAACAGCAATAAAATAGTGATCTGTGCAAAATTGTTGTTTATACTAGGTATATATACCGTATGATCGAATAAAAATGGCGTCAACGATGGCTATGAAATGAAGATCGCTGTCATTTTATATGTAAAATTATATGGGAAATGTCATCGATCGTCATTTCCAAGCCAACGGGACGCCGTTTTTTTTTCGATCATACGGTATATACTCCTATAAAATATAAAATTATTTGATCGAAAATAAACCTGACGTATACAAACAAAATTTGCAAAATGAAAGTCACGAAGTGGGACGCGTCTTTCTAAGATCTAATAAGAGATTAAGGCCAAAAGGAGAATATTATTCCGTACCATATCTCGTTTTCGATGGTCTCGGAGGCTGAGCCTTTGTTTCCAATCTCGTTGCGGAGTCGAATCGGTACTCAGGGGGCACAGCATCGGCGTGGACTGCATGTTCTGCAACAAGAATTTCAATTTTAAATGAAATTTGCTACGTGAGAAAATAAGAACGGAAAGTTTGAAATTTAATAGGCGGGACGGCACAAAATCAGGAAGATATGTATTTTGTTTTAAAACTAAAAATACGGTATACATATAAAGCAGGAGATACAGTGACCTGAATAACAATAACTGTCATATTAGTCAAGAAAGTCAGTCACAAGAAAAAAGATGTGACTGAATTAGTATTATTACGTTTTACTCGGTTCAGTGTGGATAATTTAAAGTCTTATTAATTTAACACAATTTATTTTAACTAACAAAACAAGAACAATATAACATTTAGAAACTAATTACTAAACTTATTTACAACTCTAAGATTATTTCTCTAAGGAATTTATTTTGAATTTCTTTGGCGCGGAAACTAAGCACGGTACGCGATTCTGATCGTCTGTCCTCTTCACGCCGCTGCCAGTCATCGCTTAACAGGTGAAACAGAAACCTAGAATGTTCTTCGGTCGCGCTATTCAGACACGTAGCCGCTATGTTCAGAATTTCTACACTCTTAAGGTCTGGAAGGCCATATTAGAGCGGGGCTTGTTTCACAACAGTATTTTACAATACAAAGTAACAATTTGAATCTGCGCAATATACAAGGTGGTCCGAACTTTATTCCGGAAACTTCGACAGCATATTCTGCAGATAAAATCAGTAAAAAGTTGGTATAAATGTATGTCCTAAAATGCTTAGTTTCCGAGATACAGGGGTGTAAAAAGTTTCATTTTATTTCGATTTTTGCAAAATAATTTCTGATGTAACGTCAATATTTGGATGAAAATTAGAATCTAAATTACCAACTCTTGTCATAATTGATATAAATTAACCATGTTGACTAAATAGTTATTAGACTGAAATCGTAAATTTGAAATAAGAAACTGCTTTATCACCATTTCTTCGACGAAAATTTCTGATTAATTTAAAAAAATAAAAAGTTCACAAATTTATAATTTCAGTCAAATAACTATCTACTCAACATGTTTATTTTTTGTCAATAATGACATGAATTGACTATTTCCATTCTCAATAAATATATAGAGAATGGTTGCTCGTAGCGATTTTACTCAAGAAAGATTTTTTACATAAAAAATCACGGTAATGTATATTTTTTCACTCAGTAGTTTTATACAGGTATGGACGAAAATTTATTTCTCTTCAAAACGGTTAAAAAATATGTAGGTCAATTTCTCATGTCAAAAACTCCCTAGACACTAATTTCCATTAAAATATTGACGTTACTTCAGAAATTATTTGGAAAAAATCGAAATAAAAATGAAACTTTTACACCCTGTATCTCCGAAACTGCCTTGGAGACGTGGGTATATCGATGAGCCGTCCATGGCTGCGGCGGAATGCCATGGACGGCTCATCGAACAAACATTCCATTATAGAGGAACTAAAAATTGAGACACGGCTGGTTACCAGATTAAATCAGTCAATCCTCCGATATTTTGGCCATATTGCCAGGAGTGGCACCTCAATTGAGAGACTGATGGTGGAGGGGAAGGTAGAGGCAAGACGATCACGTGGAAGGTCACCTAAGAGGTGGGTAGACCAAGTCAAAATCCTAGTGGGCCACAGCCTCCCGAAGCTTCACATATGGCGCAGTGTCGAACAACTTGGTCCGAGGGAAGTGAGTGGAATCAACACATGATGTCACCATACTCAACGTAGAGTGAAGGACTGAGAGAGAGAGAGAGAGAGATCTCCGAAACTAAGCATTTTGGATATACATTTATACGATTTTTTTTCACCGAAAAAACCTAATATAAATACTATATTTGCACCTATTTAAGATTAACCCTGTATATTGTTTTTTTGTAATTTAGATTTAGGATGAACAATAAATTCCTTAGAATATTCCTTATTTTTTTCCGAATAATTTGAGTTTCTGTTTATAGTGGATTAATAATAACAAGTTCGCTAACGTACACCTGCATGATGAGAAGCTTGCTTTAGTGAATCTTTCGATTTTATAAACATTTGCTAAAAAATGTTGATACGTTCATCACTGAGTTCATCACCTGAGAGTTTTCTCCTGCAATTTCGCACACATGCAAATAACTTAAGTATGTCAACACATAGACTGTGAGCTCTGTTCTGCTACATTCCTATAGCGAGCGAAATTTCTCACATCTTATTAGTTTTGATCTCTAAACTATTCGTATGGTTTAGAAATCGCCTTAAGAGAACAATGTTAACATGGAAATATTTTTAAATATAACGTAATTTGGAATTAAGAATATTTTGATAGCTAATAAACTAAATGAAAAAACTTCAAGAAAGAAGAGAATTTCAAGAAGTGCAACTTTGCTAAGGAATAAGTTTTAGTAAGCGACTTCAGGTAATTTATACTACAGCAACTATAGCAAAGGCTGTTATTTTGGCTTTAGGAATACTGGCGTTTACCGATTAAATTAAGTAATGAATATATTAGTTGGGCAGTGTTTTCATTTACTGAATATATAGAACAGCTTAGCATATTTTATATAACAACAAAAACATCAATTAAATTTCAAAAGTAATTTGAATTAATGATTTTTAATATTTCTGGAATATTTAGCTATACCAATGAGTAAGACAAATATTAAATTTATATCAGCAGATACGGAAGTTAGAACAAAATTTTAGGAATGTAATGAAATTTGAAATACAGTTTCTATTTTTAATAGATATGAATATATTTTTTTTATTTTGTGTTTTTTTTAATATTCGCAAACTATAAATCTGGAATCTGTTGGATATTACGTTACAGCATACACCAGAATTTACTTTCGCTAAATATATCCCTCCAAAGTTCAGTATTATTTATATGCATAAACCCGCAGCATTCGTACAAAAATAAATATTCTTTTACAATACTATGTTATATTTTAAATTTTTATAGAAAGTTGCCTGTTTTGTATTAAAATAATGCGATATGATCTACTTAAGTAAATTATCTGAAATATTTCAACTTTGTTTATAGAATATTTTAAATAAGCAGCTTTATATTGATACTAGGAAGAAGTTATATTCTTTGTAGCATATCTACGTAATACATTCATACTTATACTCTCATATATGATAGCATCCTTTATTATTTCTTAATTCTTGATATAATTCAGAATTTTCAACATAAGATGTAATATTTATTGTGAAGTTTAAAATATTTAATTATTTGTTTGATGTGGTTTTTGTTTATTAGACAAATTTGTTTACAAGTAGAAATCTATTAGGAAATTAGTTTTTATTTGTATTCTAGCTCATTGACACTTTTATATTATTCGCATTCCTGTTTCATTGGCAAAGTACTCATTTTAAGTAAGCATTTTTTCTACAAGTAAATCCACCACAAAGGTATAAGAGTTAATTCTACTTAAATAGATTTACATAAATTTACCACAAATGTGTAACATTAAATCTTCAAAATTTATTAACTCCAAACTATTTTTTATCTACTAAAACATTTTGATAATAATTAAAATTTTAGCGTTTCTATTAAACATAAAGCAGCTCGTAACATCTAATATTAAAAAGATTTTTATAAAGGGTGTGATAATGTTAATGCTTATGTAAAGTATACAAAATATACTAATTAAAAAAATCTAAAGTCATTACGTGCGCGAAAAGAGGTCGCTTTAAGAGCCCCTAGCCATCAGCGTTAAAATTTATTTACAACAGTTTTATCCCAATCTCCATTAAAAAACCGCAATCTCTGCGGCTTTCATCCTGTTTCACGTAACCCTTTGGGAAGCTTTTATAAAAACCTAATTTTCCTTTTATGAAACATGCTTGGAGATGAAAAGAATCTTATTATAGGGGATCCTATATTTCGTGTGTGTGATGGTAGTGTGACAAGATTTATATGAGATTTTTTGTTTATAAATTTAGGTTGTATATTATATTTGTTAACATTAATTAAATAATGAAGAAACGTTTACTTTACCTTTAGTAACATTTTTGCCACTACAATTACCCCAAAACTTGCAAAACCAAAATAACATCAATGCGTATCAAACGATGGTCTAAAAGCTATTAACACCTATAATTTCTGTTCGTTTTCTGATTTCCCTCTCCCTAGATTGCAAATAATATTTTCAAAACCAATAATTATTTATGTATACAGAGTGTCTTAAAACTGAATGTATTGAATTTAATGAAATATGTTTATTTCTAAATAGGCAAGGTCATCTGAAGGTATTAGAGTAAATATAAAATAATGTATGTATGCAATAAAAAAGTAACTAACAATTCTGGCATAAAATAAAAAAAATTTGAAAGATATATTCGTAACATTGAGTAGTTTGGGTAAAGAACCTCTCATCACGTCTATTTTATACTTCTCTCAATATTGTACTTTTTTTCATTTGACAAGAACTTTTTGGCACATCATGTAGAAGTATTAACAAAATAATAAAAAAAATAATAAAAAAAATAATAAACAAAATAATAAACAAAATAAAACCATCTGTTCTGCTAACAGTACAAGAAATATATTTTAATCTATAACTAATTCCCTTTAATATTAATTCAGCGAATTTTAAAATTCAAAATAGAGGAATTAGTAATATTTGCGCATCACATATTAATGTATTATGAAAACTCACTATATTAAAAGTTGGTTATATCTAGTCAAAATTTCAGTAGTTTTCATAGTTTCCGATGTATTTAATTTTAAATCTCTCCAAAACAAGAGGTTGGCTTTATATTCTATATTACCTTAAGGTTAAGGTTCGAGACGGGGTTATCTTCTTTAGAGTTGTTAAAGGCCTATTATGGGCTCTGTTTATTGGATATATTCTTTTTCCTTTCGGCTATAAAAATTTCAGTTTCTTGCGGAAAGCAGTCTCTAGAGAGTTTCCAAATATATTTATAAGTCTAACAATTTTAAAAGAGGCTTTCGAAGATAAAACTGACTGAGATTTTGGCTGTAAACTTTATAGAGAAAAGAACGTTATATAGAGATATATCCTTTATTG